TTATCTTCGAGTTTTATAAAACGGCTTCTCGAGTTTTATAAAACGATCTTCGAGTTTTATAAAACTATCTTCGAGTTTTATAAAACGGCTTCTCGAGTTTTATAAAACGATCTTCGAGTTTTATAAAACTATCTTCGAGTTTTTATAGAACGGCTTCTCGAGTTTTATAAAACGATCTTCGAGTTTTATAAAACGATCTTCGAGTTTTATAAAACGATCTCTCGAGTTTTATAAAATGATTCTCGAGATTAATAAAACTGTTACGTTTATGTGTTTGCGGAGAATTTTGGCTATTGATTCCGTCGTACCGATTTTGACCCCAACAGAAATCCCACATACCAAGGAAAGATTACACCGGTGGGAGCTCCTCTAAAGCCAAGCCAAGTGTTGTACGGAACCATTTTAAATTCAGCTTGGAGGAGACATATGAAGGATTAAAGACGTTGGAGATTTTGGAATTGATAAAAAAAAAGTCTTAGGTCATGATATCTTGCATAATTCATAATTTTAATCATTCATTTTGTACATATTGATCATTTAGGCTTGCATATATGTTCTCTAGGTTTGATTACATTTGCATTTGTGTGTTTTCAGATTTGGAGAAGTGCTAGTGATAATTTGGAACCTAAAGAGTCACAAATTGTTCAAGGTGATGAAGAAGTGGTTCAGTCGCAGTCAACCATCACGACATGGGGGTACCTGCGAATTTATGGTATGGCCGCAGGCAAGCTTCGTGGGATATAGAACGCCGCCATCAAATGGCGAGAAATAGACAGGGATATACAAGGACAAGACTTGATGCCTTTGAGAACTCAAGGATCTACAAGGAGAAGACCAAGACCTTTCATGACAAGAATATCTTTAAGACAGAGTTCAGTGCTGGAGACCAAGTGTTACTCTATAATTCTCGGTTGAAACTGTTTTTCGGGAAGCTCAAGTCAAGATTGTCTGGTCCTTTCAATATTAAAGAGGTAAAACCTTATGGAGCAGTTGTTTTGTGGAGCACTGATGGAAGAGATTTCACAGTCAAAGGGCAAAGAGGTAAAGCTCTACATGGGGACTACAACAGAGGAGGAAGCAACCTTGGTTCCACTCTCCGATCCCATTCCCACTTAGCCTAAATCAAAGGAAGTCAAACTAGAGACTTAAAACAAGCTCACTTGGGAGGAAGTCTCATATCTATCCTTGTACATATTTCCTATAAATAAATTCATCTTTATTAGTAGTTTATGCCTCTAGATGGTAGGTAGATGTTTCAGGTCTCACCTAAGGAGTTGTGGGTGATTAACCAAGCACCAAGATTCGAAAAGCTGAATCGCAGACACCCGCCGCGGCCTCTTCGCCTGCGATCATCACCAACAATGGTGACCACACACCGTGGCTTAAGGGTGCCCGTAAAACTCCCTTGAAAATTTGACAAGGAAGTTTTGCGGGCTATACCACGAGATACGGATCCCACGGTGAATCGTCGTCAAAAACCAGCCATCGCAGGCAACCTTTGCGACGTAAGGGTAACTGCGTCCATCCAACGCCAAATTGGGCCGGGATATTTCGCGGGATGCGATGGCCGCGGCGAATTCTTCTTCTTCCCGGTGGCACGATGCCCGTGGCCAAGATACGTTAATCGGGTTTCCTTCTTAAATTGAACCGAAAACGATTCCTTAACTCAAATTTACCAAGATTTCGAGCTCTCCCCCTGCATATGTTGTAAATTAAGTCCCCATTTCCCTTAGTTTTTTACCAAAACCTTCAACTTCATCACCATTTTTCCCATAGCCTCTCAAGAACCCATTTTCTCAAATCTTCATCAAATTTTGTAATTCTTGTTGCTATTTGTCGGGTTTCTCGTTGTGATTAAGTTCCCATCACTCGTTTCCTCTGACATTCACCACACAATCTAAGGGATATATTTCAATTTCTAGGATTTGAGAAAAAAATTCGAATTTTCTTAAATCTGAAATTTCTTATTGATTGCTGGTTGCTAATAATAGTAGAAGTCTTTTGAGATGTTTAATGATATAAACCCAGGTTAATCTCGACTGGAAATTGTGTGAACTTCAAATTTTTGAAATAGGAATCTTGAGGATTTGGTCCTTTTTCGAAAATGTTAATGGGACCTTAAATTGATGTTTTAAGTTGGGTATTGAGAGTGTTGTTGACATGCTGACAAGAAGCATTCATGATTGTATAATTTTAATTTCACAAAATCTTTGAAATCATGTCAAGTTCTTAAGTTCATTCATGGTAAGCTATGATGATTATTTTCTCAGTATTAATTGAAGCTTGATGTGTGTTTGAGATGGATTATGTGTTAAATATCATGAAGCAAGCTTGTTTTGAATTTAATCATCTCTTGTACAGACTTTAGATACTTTTTAAGTCTTTAAATTTGAACTCACTCCCTCTTCAAGTATCAATTTTGCAGGGATATAAGATGACAAATATTACGGGTGATGCACCGAAAAAATCCGACATACCAAGGAAATATTACACCGGTGGGTGCTCCTCTAAAGCCAAGAGTCGTAAGGAAAAGGAAATAGTCAGAGAAGATTCTGTTGAGGAAGAGACTTCTGATGAGACTGATAATGAGGAAGGGGTAGCTCAAACAAGAAAGAACACAAAGAAACCTAAAGTGCCAAAGAAGAAGAAGCCGCCTCCTTCAGAAGTTGCTAGGCTCTTCAAAGCTATGAGTTTCTTAACAACAACCTATCATGATCCTTTTACGCTGCAGCAGTTGGATCTTTATAAAGATGAGGTTCTTACTAGAAAAGATGGGGCTAGAGAGCTTGTTGACCTTACATAAATCGGGCCACGAGACAGCCACACACCATTTCCTCTCCTCCCTTGTTGCTACATACTATGCAGAGGAGCATCCAGATGATGGTTTTGGGTTCATCAAGTTCAAGGTTGGGAGGCAAACTTACATGATGTCTTTCAAAAGGATTGGCGAAATCATGGAATTCCCGATAGGCATGGTTCAGAGATAACTGGTGGAAAGGAAGACCCTTCTCACCTATGGTCGATGATTGGAGTGGGACGCTATGATACAAAGTTGATCAAGGGAGCAGACATCATGAGCCCATCTATCCGTTATGTCCAAAAAATCCTAGCACAAACCTTATATGCTAGGAAGGATCCATGAAGGGTAGTGGAGGATGAGCAGAGATTCCTCACCTTTTCCCTTAAAACTGTGATAGGAGACAAGTTTGACGGCGATTATTAGGTACAGTTTGGAGTTAATGTCAACCATAGAGTTGTGGGCATTTTTGTGAACCGTCTACTCCATTATCAGGATTGGACTTGGACAAAGAAGGGTAAGGGTCCACAATTGAGTATAAGAGACCTTATCACACCACTCTTGGAAGCAATGGGAGGAATCATTCCTAACAAACTGTGGTTTCCTTAGTGGGGTATTAAGGCACCAATGGGTTTATAGCTTCAAGGTGGTGAAAGAAAAAGATAAGTTTGTGAGGACCTTCCTTCCTAACCAAGCACTCACTTCCATAGCTGAAAGGGATAACATCAAATGCAAGACTCTCAATAAAACAAAACAAATAAGACATTAGAAACTTGGTATTTCTCCCAAACTTGAATCACACAGTCTCTCATGTGATTTAAAAAAAAGGAGATACCGAAAATAAATAAAAGCAAGAAACAGAAACTGTATGTACAAAAATGGTAGGAAAAGTACCTCATTGCTTGGTGAAACCTAGCGTATTGTCCGTGTCAGAGGTAGGGATGTACGGTGTCTCGTTGCCTAAGTCAGATGAAGGTAGTTGTTGAACAGGATGGCGTTGGCGCCTTGATCTGCGCTGACGGGGCTCGTGGAGAAAAGCACACAATTCCTCATAGTAAACTCGAGTGGCACTAGAATCTCCATGGTATTGGAGCTGCTTTACTTCTCTATGTGCGTTTCTAGTTGAAGGCGCGCAAGTTCTCAAAATCATTTCATTGTTTAAAAGGTTATAAATAACACCATTACATCAAAAACCTAATACCCTTTTGTTTTTTTTTCTTGTTTTCCTTTGTATTCTACGGTTGGATCTTTTCACAACTCTATAGGCACTTTTTTTGTTGGGAGTGTTACTGTTGTTCATCGGACACAGTACCCTATCTCACCTCGCAATAGAATCGAACAAGTTTAAATCTGCTTGATGATTGTTGCTATCGGCTTAGCACTATTCTACAATACTCAATTCATACTAGCTATATTTACTATGGTGTGTCTCCATGTAGCATTTAAAAAAAAAAATCAGTATTGTAGCAATAGAGTAAAACTTCTATAAATTAATAATGTTGGGATTTAAAATTTTATTAATTTATAGTGATATTAATTTACCAAAAGTTTCCCTATTCAGATTTTTTCTGTTTTTTTTTTCATTTTGATTTATAAAGTCAAAAAATATTTGATTTTCGCAGATGTACATTATTTAAATTTTAGAAATTTGAATTTTATATAATTTTATTATCTTATTTGGTGTATATTTTTATGTTTTATAGAATTGTTATGTGGTTTTTAATATAATTTAACTAAATATTATCAAAATATATTAGTATTTTATTGTAACTAGAAAACCAACAATATAAAATTAGATTGTACTTATATAAAACTATGTATAGATAGATTATTAATTTATGATTTTAATAAGACTATATATTTACATAATAGTTTTAAAAATATTACTATCTTATTATTTTATCGATTTGTGTCATATTTTATACCAGTCTAAATTGGGACCAATAAAATTTATTATTTTATAGAAATTATTAATTTATAGAATAATAATTTATAGAGATTCTATGTACTTATATAAACTATGGTGATAGAAAATCATAATGGATATCTCAGTTTAGCCTTTAAAGTTATCAAGAAGAGTTGTTTTCGGTTCCTTCTTTTTTCTTTCGTTTTAACTGCCAAAGCCAGTCAACGACAACTACACGGAAATAATTATTTGCTATTTGACCCCAACTTCACATGGCATCGTTACAACTTACCCAACTTTACAGTTCAAATCATAAATGAAAATTAAATAAAAATAAAATAAAAAAAAAAGTAAAAGAGAGAATGTAGTTGTCATTTGTACAATCATTGTTTTGTTCGTCTGAAAAATTAAAGAACATATCTCTCTCTCTCTTCTCATTGGTAAGAACGTTCAATCCAATCTATAATCTCTTTGGTTCCAATTCCTTGCATGTTCTTATTCTTTTGCATAAACTTCTCATCTTTCTTCATCAATTTTCTTTCTGTATATCGTCAAATTTTTTTCTGTACCGTGGTTTCTTCGTTAAAATGATTTCAGGAAAGTTAATTATCAAAACTTTCGGATTGATTTTTACTCTCAATGAATTTTTGTGAATTATGCAATGAATATCAGATGATCTACATTTGGGTTTATCCCTTTCTGCATCGTGTATTGAAAACATATGCTCTTGGTGATTATGTGGTAGTGGTTTCCCCAAAAATGGTTTTTGCTCTGAAATTGAAAAACTAGAGTTTTCTTTTTTTACTAAACAACAAACTACAAACTAGAGTTTGATTATAATTTAAGCATCATGAACTTCTGATTCTTTCTGTTTTCACATTATTTATCGTGGCTGATGCGTGTTTTCTTTGTTCTATAAAGGACTCTGGTTAATTGGTTGCTAGATTTTTAGAAGAGCAATGAGTCATTCTGCAGCCAGCTCAGGTACTGCTGTTTTACTTTCCTAATCATATTCTCTCTTAAAAAAGATTCTTTTTTTTTGTAGTGAAATTTATGTGACCCTTCATTGGTTTGAGACTCATTCACCTTGTTGCTTCACATCACAGGTAAAAGGAGAATAAGAGATCTTTTAACTCAATCTGATAACCGTGTCTGCGCTGATTGTGGCGCTCCAGATCCTAAGTGGGCGTAAGTCATCGCTGCTAAACTCTCCCACATATGCTACTTATAAAACATTAAACTCTCTAACAGTTAACAATGTATGGTTGTGTGATGAATAAATTTAATTGTCTTACAGGTCAGCTAATATCGGAGTGTTCATATGCTTAAAATGTTGTGGTGTGCACAGAAGCCTTGGCACTCATGTCTCCAAGGTCATGATGACTATTTGCTTCTTCTATGTTCCGTTTTGTTTTTCCGTTTGTATAACAGTTCAATTGGATTGCAAATTTGTATACAAATGCTCTTGTGCTGATGTTACTTTCATTATGTAAATAACTAACATAACCGTTGTAATACAGCTTATTCTCTTGTATAATCATATTTAGTTCTTCTTGACAAGAGTTTATTTGCAAGTTTATTGATAGTATGGTTGAATGTTTTCCAGGTCTTATCTGTGACATTGGATGAATGGTCAGATGAGGAAGTCGATTCAATGATTGAAATTGGAGGAAACGCCTCTGCCAATTCAATCTACGAGGCATTTATACCTGATGGTTCCTCTAAGCCTGGACCGGATGCTAGTCATGACCATCGTATGAGGTTTATCAGGTAAGGTTTAGTGTTTACACCAACTACCCTTTAACATTTTAGTAGTATAATCACACTCTCAAACCTTAATGTCAGGTCAAAATATGAGTTCCAAGAGTTTCTGAAACCAAGCTTGCGTATCACATCAGGGAAGACATCTAGTTCAAAGAGCAGTTCATCATATCGTTCATCAAGTCTATCGACTAATTTCATCGATAGCTTTCGCACAAATTCATCATCCCAAAATCCAGTAAAAGCTTCTTTTCATATAGAGTAAGACTCAATGGAACTTGAACATTGTGATTAATGGTGTTTATACAATGACAGCAACTTGAAGGGATGGTTGAGTTTATTGGATTGTTGAAGGTGACTCTTAAAAAGGGTACCAACTTAGCTGTTCGAGACATGATGACAAGTGATCCCTATGTTGTGTTGACTCTAGGAAAACAGGTAAACTGAACACTTTAGTCTTTATATGTTCTTACTATTATTCTAGTGATAATATGGTTGATCTTTTTCATCATATTACCAGACTGTACAGTCAACTGTAATGAAAAGCAACTTAAACCCGGTTTGGAACGAGGAACTCATGCTCTCTGTTCCTCATGACTATGGCTCAGTGAAGCTGGTAAAAAGCTTAACATTCAAATCAGTTTGTACTTTTGATTGAATCTTCAACTTAAGTGCACGGTTTGTTTTAACATGGCAACATGCAGCAAGTGTTTGACTATGACACATTTTCTGCTGATGACATAATGGGAGAAGCTGAGATTGATATCCAACCTTTGATAACATCTGCAATGGCTTTTGGAGACCCTGAGATGTTTGGAGATATGCAGATTGGGAAATGGCTGAAATCGAATGACAATGCTCTTATAGAGGATAGCATCATCAACATTGCAGATGGCAAAGTGAAACAAGAGGTTCAGATCAAGCTTCAGAATGTTGAATCTGGTGAGTTAGAACTAGAACTTGAATGGCTGCCTCTAGACCAATAATAAAATATCATAGGGTCATTAAATGTATGGAGAAAGAAAATCTTATTATTGTATTCATTCTGATTCTTGAAACTTCAATCTTGAAAACCCTTCTTTGGTGTTTTGCTTAAAGAAAATTATGAGAGCCATTTGTATAATTCAGACCGGATTATATGTTTTAATTTAATTTAGATCTTCAAAGCATTCTACACAATCTAATCCCAAGTCTGATCCAAATGTCCTTTGAAACCTGTAATAAGACGCTTAAAGTTGCTAAACAAAGCATCTCATCATGTCAAGATCATGACTCAACCTCAACAAGCAAATAATCATAACAGACTAAACTGAAAACACCAAAAATTAAGAAATGAAAAGAATCAAAAAGAGATATGTTGTGAATCAAAAGTTGTATAAGCTAATAAATTGGTACGTTTTGTAGGAAATCAAAGCATGCAAGTGTTCAACTGACATGTAGATTCAACAGATAGGCTAAAAGCTAAAGATGTCGGATTCTTCGTCCAAAACATATGAACGCTGCGTTTTGATTTAACATAAAGGGCCCATTAACTCAAAAAGTTATACGGCCCATTAACCTGAAAACTTTGACCCGGCTCACATCGTCCCCATTTCAGTGATTCTGAAATCCTTTCTCTACCGATACCAAATCAAAGGTAGTTTACGTGTTCCATTCTTTGTGGTTCATCTTCTAATAGGGTTATTCTTTTGCCACGTCTTGATATTCATTGTCTTGGCTTCAAATTTTCATTTCTCTCTTGCTCCTTCAGAATTAGGGTTTGTAAAAAATTGGGGATATACCTCTTGTTCTGTTGTTATTTTCCTTATGGGTTTTTAGCAGAGAGGTGAAAGATCTGATTTTTTTTTTTTTTGGTTAGTAAAAACGATGCATCCTCCACTTACACCACATAGACATCCTATGTGTCTGGAGGTCAGTTTATCTATCTCCTACTTGGTTTCTCAATCTATCTTAGTTTGTAATTTCTGCGTGAGTGCTTCTTTTTGAGAATATGATCAAAAGTTTGTGTACCAATCTTACATAATAAACCAGTGTTCAAAGGAGACAGGGCATCTGTAAATCTTGCAATGCAATTAAAATTTAAAACTGAGTGGCGTCAAAAGATATCTTTTGCTTTTTTTAGTCATAAGAAGATCTCTCATTATTATGATGTCACATGTTTTCCAGATAATTGAGGAGTTCCAAAAGTGTCATTTAGAGCATCCCATTGGAAAATTCTTGGGAGATTGTACAGAGCTGAAAGTAAAGCTTGATCGATGTTTTCGCCAAGAGGTACGCTTTTTGATAGCCAACAAAGTTCCTTCTTGCAGCTTAAGTTGCGCGGTTGATTATTTACACTTGTCTTAGAGATATCTTTACAATCTCTTGCAGAAAGCTGTGAAGCGGAAGGTAAATTTCGAACGAAGCAAGAAACTTCAAGAACGGCTGAAAACTTTAAGGAAAGAAGAAGAAACTGCTGAGACTTGAGATTTGTTGGATACTGATCTTGATGAAGAACATATTATTGTTTATTTTGAAAAGAATACGTACGTTCCCAATGAATCCAGGAGGAAGAGTTTGAGCACACTTTTTGTGTTCTCGTAAATGAGCGCAAAAACATGTGTTTATTATACATCTATTGATTAGGGTTTTAAAACGAGGTGGTTATTGGAGTTAATAAGGCTAATTAGCTTGGATTGTAAGGCTACTGTACTCTATAAAATGCAGTAAATAAGATTTCTTGGTCTACAAAATTTCTACACATTACAAAATTTTGTGACTTCATTCCGTCTTGCGGTAGATGATCTTGCTTTGACCACTAAAGATGGTCTAACAAATGCATATATGCCTTCGTTAGTTGTAACATCTGCTTGACTGCCTCTTTGAGGATAAGATTGGCCAGTTTGTGTATCAATCTTATTATAGTGTACTAGTTGCTGTATTTAAAGGAGATATGAGCAATGTATATCTCGCAATGCACTTATAACAGTTAGGTCAAGCTACATTGCTTTTCTTCAGATTTTGTGATGCAGTATGGTGGATTCTACCTCCAAAACTGCATTTGGCTAGATAACTGAACGATCTTTTAATCAAAAACAAGTTTAACTCCATATCTTTTGTTGTTTCAGAGACTGCTGAGTCTGGTATACCACACATCTCTAAACTGAAAAAGGTCTAATTACGACAAGACTCAAACTTTCACCTTATGTTTACTTGTCAAGCAAGAAACAACGAAAACGTAATCTTGGCACTGAAGGACTGAGTTCAAAAATCTATGTTGCAAAATGTTAGAAGCTGGGTTCTGATTTTTTTGGTATCATTAAAGGCATTTTACAACGATAAAATAGATTTAGTGCTTTCTTGTTTCTCATAACTCAGGTTAGCTGGATCAAAGAGTGTGCAAGGTCGTTGGGTATAAAACACACCATATGAAACATCCGGGCTGAAGCTCAGAGTCAACCGGCCCAACAGGAATGTGTTTGTTTCCAGCGGTAGATCCAGGAAACACTTGATTATGGATAAAGATTTAGTGTTTTGTTAAGATTCTAATTGACACTATTAATGGACATAAGAAGATTATGATTTACTTAATGGTTTTGAGACAAAACCAGTGAATCAGTTTGTTAGTTTTCTGTTACACTACTGTCTGGTGGCACGTGGCCTCGTATATTTCCAGAGAATTTTCTTCCCGAAGTTATCAGAAAAAGAAGCTAACCAATTGGCTGATCAATTTATTTCACAAGTTCCAAGGAAAAATACATTTTAATAGGAAACCAACAATGGACATTGACAAGACGAAAACACACAGAAATGGACATTAATGTTTTATGCAAAATATTTGCATTGGGGAAAAATGCATGTGATTAAGGAAGTCACCACGTATGAGAGCCGACAATGCTTTCAGGGTAATGGTTATTTTGTTGGATCTAATTCTAATCATCACATGCTTTGTTTTTCTTCTTTTATTAGTTTTATTGTTTATGATTTGTTGGACCATTCAAAACCAGAAACCACCTCCTTATGCTCAGTCACTTGTGTCAATGTATCACCGAAATTAATTTGATCCAAGGACTAGTGAAGAAGTTAACTGTTGTGGTATCTTTACACGTAACATAGTTTAATAGCATAAAAAAACCTTCAAAATGGCACTCACTAGTACTTTAAACCTTATACTTATTTAACTAGCATATTAAACATTCAACTTGACTATTATATCACAAAAAACCTTCAATTTGGCTTACTTGTTCGTCAAGTTAAAATTGTGACTTGTTAACCTCGAGTAGTAGGTCACATGTTGATTTTTAACAGTTTTATTTAATTAATAAATGTAATTAAAAATAAAAAAACTAAATAAAATTAGAATTTATAGAAAATTTTCTAAAATTGAAGTTAATAAAAACCAAAATATTTTCTTAAAATTTCAGTTTTTAAATTGAAAATTTTGCAAACTAAAAAAAAAAAAACCAAAAAAATCTATTAAATATTCTCACAAAAATAAATAATTTTAAACATTATAACTATTAACTTGAAACACTCTTTGTCATATCATCATTAAGAATAACAACAATCAATGTTAACTGATTGTTAATTTGTATATAAGAAATTACCATCGTTAAAGATATCAACAAAATTAAACGTTTTAAAACTTACAAAACATTATTATTATTTGTGATATGATGAAAAGTACTCTTTTTACTGGTGATATATCCACACTATTTATTTTTAAATAAAATTTTAGAGTTCTGTATAATTTTATAAAAAATTTACATTCATATTTCACAAAATTTCATTTAGAATAAAAATAAAACACTTGTAAACTTTTAAGAAAATATATATATACTTTTTAGATTAAGATTTTAAATTTTTCTGTACTTAAAAAATATATTTCGCAAAACTTACATTTAAAAAATATATATATATATATATATATATATATTTTAAGAAGATGTTTTTTATTTTATAAAATTCAGTTTTAGAAATTCTTTTATAATTTTCTAATTTTATTTAGGTTATTTATTATTAATTGTATTTATTTATTAAAAAAAAATCAACATGTGACCTACTATTGTAGGTTAGTAGGTCACAATTTTAACTTGATGAACAAGTAAGCCAGATTAAAGGTTTTTTGTGATACAAAAACCAAGTTGAATGTTTAATGTGCTAGGTAAATAAATTCAAGGTTTAAAGTGCTAGCGAGTACCACTTTGAAGGTTTTTTATGCTATTTTCCCATTATACATCATTACAATTGCTAGATATGATAGTGTTTTCTCATGAAACTGATCTGAATTCTGGATTGAGATCACTTGCATCATGCCAATACAAGACACTTAACGCATCATTATTGTTTGTTCTATTTCTCAGAAAAAGGTAAATTAATTAATATTTTATTTATATATTATTTTTAATAAATTAGACCACTAGTCATTAAACAATTTCTTTTGAGTTTTAGGCGAGTTTATGATAAAAGAAACGAATTTTTGATCTCTCTTTTTTCTTCCTATTTTTAAAAATATTTTTACCATGAAAAACTATGCTACAGACTCTCCAGTAGAGATGGTTTAGGACATGCAAGAAGCAACAACTAATTCAACCTTGGTTACAAAGTACTCCATCTATTTCAAATTGTTCCATGTTTTAAAATTTTCACATATGTTAAGAAAATTTATGAAATTTTGATTACCAATACATTATTTTCTTTTATCTAACTATTCCCTAAAATTTTTAACCAATAGAATTTTAATAAATATTTTAGAAATTGCAAATCCTTATTAAATGATGTATTGAATATGTAAAAAATGAATCATATTCAAACATATAAAAAGTTTAAAAATATACTACAACATTTGAAACATAGGGAATAGAATTTTGCTTTAAATGTTCATTTGTCGTTTGTAAACTTCATACGCGTGCAAGTTGCAACCAAATCAAATTTTATTTCATGTAAAATATGTTTTTTTTTTAGTTTACAAAAAAAAAATATGTTTTTTTTTTGCTTAAATTTTTTAAATATGTTTTTGTTGATAAAAAAGATATAAATTGTGATTAATTTTTACCTTCTCAATAAACATTAAAACTAATTTATGAAAATAATATAAATGAACATTCATGTTTTAAATGGATAGTTCGGTAGACAACGTACGAATTTGGGATCCACGAATTTGGCCAAGATTAAAATTTCCTTATCTGCTATTCATATAACATTGATTATTGAGCAGGTATGGTGTGGCCTTTCTAATTTGTGTACATTAATGAACCAAGTATCCTCCATATGCCCAAGGCACGTTTGCAATGAATATGGGTCACTTCTTATGTCTTTTCATTTTTTCTAGTTGACGTTAGATTTGCTAAATTGATCAAAGACTAATTACGGCGTAGACTTTTGAAACCCTTCGATAATAATCCAGGGTCGAATTCCAAAGTGTAAATCATGTCCTTCTTATGCGTAGCTTATATGATAAGATATTTCTTATGCGTGCACTTATTCAGCCCCGATGCCGGTTCAGATAAAATCTAATAAAACATTCATCTTGATTCTCAAATTTTTATCAAGATGTAAATAATGTGATAACTTAGTGACAGTTTATTTTCAAAAAAAAAAACTTAGTGACAGTACAAGAAACTAGTTCTGTATTTTCATTGCTTTAATCCTTTTTAAGAAAAAAATATTTTCATTGCTATGCTGTTATCAAATATCAACTGTTTAATCTCAAACTCTTAAAAAAAAAGCTGTTTAATCTCAAACCAACGAAAAATATACGGACCTTCACTTTAAACTCCCAATATTTTAAAAAATCAACTAGATCTTGATCCGCGCGGGTGTTTGATTTCAATTTTGTAAACGTAAATTTTTTTAGATTAATAATAGTGAATCTTCTTAACATTAATCATATTTTAAAATTTTTGTTTGATATTTTTCAAATACAATAATGTTATATTTTATGGGTTTACATGTTTGTTGACTTTTTCAAATACAATAATGTTATATTTTACATGTTTGTCATCTAATTAATTGTTTCACCATGTATTTTTAAATTCTTATTATATATTTTTTTCATTAGATTTGCGTTTAATTATAAGACGATTTATTTTGACTATATTAGACATTTACTTTTGACAATTTTATATATTTCAAATATTTTAGAAAATTTTAAAATATATTATATATTTTGATATTTTAATATAATATTTCTGAAAATAATTAATATATTTAACTATATAAATCTATTTCAGATATATTCGGATATCCAAAATATTTTGGTTTGAATTGAGTTTGGTTTCAGTTATTTAAATACCAAAATTTGAATCCATTCGGGTATTTCAAAAATTTTTATTTGGATTCTTTACTATTTTTTAATCAGATTTGGTTCGGTTTTTCAGATTGAAGATTTTTGCTCAGTCCCGATTTCAATGGTATTTTTATTTAAATAGATAAAAGGTTTGAAGCTAATAAGGGAAACCTAAATTGATTTCTTGTATCTCATTTTTCAAAATTTAAAATATATGAACAAAATGAAGATTTTATGGTATGTTAAGATAGTGATCTGTGTTTATCCGATAACCAATGATATATTCTTTTACCTTGGTAAGATTTGGTTGAATATGTTTTAAATAAGTGATCACGATTTTGAAAACTCTATGTAAGACTGATATTGCTTCATACATATACCAAATATTGCATGACTTGTTGGCCGAATGTGGGTGATTGTTTTGATATTTTAATATTCTAGAGGAAAATTATCT